TCATCCTATTTCCACAACAATCGAAAACCCAATACCTACTGTTTTTCAATGGTGCCTTTTTTTTTTTAATGACCACTCAATGGTGTTCTTCATACACTATCACCACAACCATACTAATGGCAAGTAGGACATTGACAAACGCCAGTTCTTGGTGCTGTAATATAGTTTGTCGGAGATGGCAATTCAAATCAAATGTATTAGATTAAACTAGAATGATCCATAATAGTATGTGTACATAAACCTAAAACTTAAATGACCCATAATAACAATATGTACATAACCTTGAAGCATAGGATTCCAAAAAAAACTTGCCCCTTGCGCTGGTGTTCTTTTTTATTTATATGGATTTTGTTGCAAGATATCCACTGATGAATTCCTACCTCTATTTATTGTCCCCCAGTCAACCCTCACTTTAAACTACCCTCATTTTTTCTATTACTAACCACTGTTTACAGTGAGATAAAGTGTGAAATGGCTGGTAGATTTGAAGCTGCAATCAACCATCTTCCAAGGAGGTACAAAGAGTTGTGATCCACCGATCCGATTCAAGATGCTCAGATGAGCATTGTTGCCTTGAATGCCTCTGATGATTAAGGTGCTCTCATCACCAACTGCCTCCAAGAACTCTGTTAACTGGCGCTTGTGACTCTGCAAGCTCATAGGCAGAAGTACCAAAGTTAAGTCAAAACACGCCGCTTTTTGGGCATTCAACCATTGCTCAAATTCAATAGAAAAACAAGCCAGAATACTTGCAACCGCAATCAAATATCTGTAACATTAAAGAAAAAAAAAATTACTGATATTTCCATTGTATATTTCACTTCACGTTTTATTTTACTTCCAAATTCATGCAAAAAAGACTTAAAACTCAGAAATTTTAAAGAGTTTTTTAAAGCAGATTTGGACTTTTGGCAATGGGATTGGTTGGGCTGCTAGGAAGAGAACCCATATTTAACAAAAGTCAACATTGTAATGTCTAGGCATAGCTTGTGCCTAAAGCATCTCCATAAAACCTTTTTTTTTGGGGGGGGTGGGGGTGCATAGCCGATGAACCCATATAACCACTTTAAAATAATGGATTTTGTTCCTTGTACCCCAAAAAAAAAAAAACTATCACTCATACGATTTGTGGAGCTTTAGACTCAGAAGTCATACATACGTCAATTTAATGTTACATTACCTCACCAATTTAATAGCATAAATTCAAACCTAGGTTAAGTAAATACATTTTTAATCCAACTTACCAAAATCAGCTGTCGAGAAAAATCATTGCGACCATCTAATGCCAAGGTTGTTAAAATTGGAATCCTACACAGGATCGGTGAGAGGGTCTCATGGATCGGATTGTAGGATCAGATTGAGAATCGTAAGATTCTACTTTCTAGGTAAAAATACAAATTAGAATGATAAATAATAAAAATAAGGTGAAAAATCATAAATCCAGTGATCCTACTTATGATCCTACCTACGATCCTACTTGCGATCCTACTATAACACCGATCCTACAACGATTTGGATCGTTTTGACAATTTAGGATTGTAGGACTATCATCCAAATCGCGATTTTGAGAACCATGTATAATGCCCCAATGTGGTTGAATAAATTAGATGAATGAAAACATACTTCAAAGAGAGTAATTGTAGGGATGATGTAAAAGTCATCAATTAAAAACAACTATAAAATTGAAATTATTGCTCTAAAATATAGCCAAATAAAAGTATTTGAAATTATTGACCTTCTTTCTTTTCACTTCTGATATTGTTTCTTGTCACTTGATTTGGGCTCACATCAAATTTCAGAGGCTTTATCTTCAATATCAAATGCACCCCAATAGTTCTAACTGGCCTTTCACAATTATTTTCTGTTGTAACTGAAGTTTAGAGCTAGGGAATTAAAATAAAAGAAAATAGAGACAGGGAGAGATAGAAAGAGTAGTCGATGGCCTAAAAGGCGCATATATTGTATAATGAAAAGGAGAAAAAATTTAAAAGGAAAACTCACATTAGGAATTTTAGGATGGTTCTTCTATGAGGATTAAAAGCAGTACGCTATTCTTTTCCTCTTCTACGTGGAGGATGAATGGAGCTTTTCCTTTGATCTGAAAGGATATTGGATCTGAAAGGGTCTGATAGACATAAGTTTCATTGAGGCTTCAATGGCTTTTAAGGATTTAAACTCACAAAACCAAACCATACCTGAAAAAATATAAGAATTCATTCCAAAACAATGAATTTTCTAAATAACTCAAGATAACGAAACAGAATTTTCTGAATTTTTTGACCACACAACAAAACAGATTTTAAAACAACACAATAAAGAATTCATTCCAAAATAACTCAAGATAACGGCTGAAAAGAATCCATTCCAAAACAATGACTTTTCTGAACTCATTTTTTTTTTCCAACTCGATGCTCTAAATTTTTTTTTTCTTTCTTTTTTTGTATTTCCATTTAGCTCCACCTTCACGTCCACCTCTCTCACAGTTCTATTTTTTTCTTTGAATTTCTTTTACCTCCAGACTTTCCCCTTCCCCCATTGCACAACCACCACTCTCTCTATCTTCTCTTTGCCTCCCATACCACACTCCTTCTCTCGCTTTCCCTTATCTCTCTTACCAGCGACATAACAATGCCACGAAAATAGAAGCTGAACAAAATCAAAGCACACTAACTAAAGTACTACAAAAAGCGCACCAACTAATAAAATAACGCAAAATATCAAAATTAACCGCCAACAAAACCAATTAACTGAACTCATCTTGCTGATAAAACAATCAAAACAATAGAAAAAATATGAATACTTTACTTTGAAACAATGAAGCATATGATTCTCTGGACAACAAACAAATAAATATATATATAAAAAAAAATCAGCAAACAGATAAATATACCCCCAAAAAATTAACATAGGCAAATAAATATAGTTTCCAGCATCGCCTTGCTGATCTAGGATCATTGTTGGAGACATGAATAGAATTCACTACCACCAATGCCTCGTTGAAAAAAGAGAAAAAGAAAGAAGAATTGAATAAATAATTAGACAAAAAAAGTTTAAAAGAAAAAAAAAACATTTAAAGAAAAGAAAACAGCAAAAACACTCTAGAAACCTCAACTGATAATTGATTTATATGTTTTCTATATAACATGTAATAATTTGTTTATGTAAACACATTACACCTTTGCTCAAAACCCTTCCAATCTAGTGTATGCCCGTGCAAATAATGATGAAATCAAAATGTAAGTGAATATAATTGTTGGGTTAAAATATAATTTATCCCATTTGTTGCTAAAAAGTTGAAGTCAAAATATGAATCAATGTTTGTTATCCCATTACACCAATTAACTGAACTCATCTTGCTGATAAAACAATCAAAACAATAGAAAAAATATGAATAATTTACTTTGAAACAATGAAGCATATGATTCTCTGGACAACAAACAAATAAATATATATATATATAAAAAAAAAATCAGCAAACAGATAAATATACCCCCAAAAAATTAACATAGGCAAATAAATATAGTTTCCAGCATCGCCTTGCTGATCTAGGATCATTGTTGGAGACATGAATAGAATTCACTACCACCACTGCCTCGTTGAAAAAAGAGAAAAAGAAAGAAGAATTGAATAAATAATTAGACAAAAAAAGTTTAAAAGAAAAAAAAAACATTTAAAGAAAAGAAAACAGCAAAAACACTCTAAAAACCTCAACTGATAATTGATTTATATGTTTTCTATATAACATGTAATAATTTGTTTATGCAAACACATAACACCTTTGCTCAAAACCCTTCCAATCTAGTGTATGCCCGTGCAAATAATGATGAAATCAAAATGTAAGTGAATATAATTGTTGGTTAAAATATAATTTATCCCATTTATTGCTAAAAATTTGAAGTCAAAATATGAATCAATGTTAGGTTAATTTTGAAAAGATTTTTTTTTTTTTTGAAAATATGTTTAGTTGTATATTTTGAAAATAAACATTTCCTAATCAACTATTTAAAGTACGGTAAACATTTTGGTTTTATTAACAAACTCTATGACTCTAAAGTATAAACTTCATATCAACACAAAAAATAAAAATAAAAGCATCCTTGCTAAGGAAGTCAAGAAAAAAAAAATTATAAACACAAAATAAAATACACAAACCAAAGGAAGTGAAAAGAGATAAGTGATATACTCGCAACAATATCATATAAGAAACGCTTCTCTTTTGAACTCTAAAACGGAAGAGGATAAACAACAGGAAAATAAGAAGAGGAATTGAAGTTGGAGTAAAAGCATAGAAAAGAGTTCAAGAGAGATGTATCTCATTCCTACATGGTTTTGCTCCCAAAAAATTGGAAGGCCCCATGACCCCCATTATAACCCCCTGTGTGCCCAGTCCATATGACAAATCAATTGAGTGCAATGAGGAAAGGGCAGAGGAGCTTCCCCTGTACCAAACTGGCTATAGGAGAAGTCACATCTAGATTCTTAGGTAAGTGGAAGGGAGGGAAGCACAAAAAGAAGGTTGGTTTTTAAAAGGGAACAACCAGCTCCAGGCTCTGTTTAGATTTGGAGTAAACATTCCCAACATCATATTCCAACCTTCCACTCAAGAAGATGATGTTTAATGAAACAATCAAATCACTCATTGCTCCATTGATATAACAGGAGCACGTCTAGTACCCTGTCACAAATAAAATTCATTTAAGCATATGCCAACACCCTGAATGTGTAATGGTCTTATAGTTAATACATTTAAAACACATTCAAATGTTTTTATTTTGCACCTTTATTGGGTAACAAAACAGAGCAGAAAGAGAAGGACAAAAAGATTACTTTGGTGAGAATTATGTCAAGTAGTTTAGTTCCTGCTATAGAGTCTGAAATTTCTGTTTGATAACTGGTAAAAACCATGAAATCAACAAAGAAAGAGGAGCGAGAAATTTCAGAAATTAATGATTCAAACCCATTGAGGAACAAATTAAAGATTCAAACCCATTTCAAAAATCACAACCAAAATCATTAACTTCAAAGAAAAATAAGGGAAAACTAAAATGATACCCAAACTAAAATTGTGCACAATTTATTTGAGCAGAGAGAGAGAAAAAAGTTGCAAGAACTTTTCCTTTGGTAGCCCACTACCATCCAAATATAACCAAACATAGGCATTAATTGGAGACACATGGTTTAGGAACAATAGCACAAGTTGCATTAACAATTGGGTTACTAATTCATGGCTCTCAATATACTTTCCATATTTGTTTTTTTCCTTTGTTTTTTCTTTAAATTCTCAGCAACCAAACAATGCACCGAAAGTAAATCATTCCTAGAATTGAACCAAAGGCATTAAAAGAACCATTTCATAAAAACCCAAATAAAGATAAACCAGAGAAAATAAACCTATAGAAACACCCATTCATAGAAACCAAAATAAGAGAGGGATGATACCATTAATCGGATTTGTGAAGGATCTGAGGAGTAGCTTGTAAACTTCATTATGGAAATTTTATTTTGAAAGCACCCATTCTAGAATGATATCTATTTTATTCCACTGCATGATATACAAATTCAGACAAAAATGTAAACTTTATTATGGAAAAATCACGATAACACAGCAAATATAAAGAGGCAAAGAAACACAAAAAGCCACACCTTGAGACTCAAACAACTTCCCATCCTTCAGCATTTTCTACATAAACATAACTCATAAACTCAATTCTCATACAAATTTAAATTCACCATTTTTTTTAACAGAACTCAATTTAAACTCCATTTAAATTTATCCACCAAAAAAACCCAACATTTTCTACAAACATTTTCCAAAAAGAGTGGATTTGAAGAAAAAATAAATAAATAAAAATTTAAACCCACTTTCTCGTGGGTTTGAAAACCAACATTTGAAGTGGATTTGAAAACCAACATTTTCTGGTGTATGCTCGTATCTAAAAGCACGGAGGAAATTATATTGAGTTTAATCTTCTCCTATCTAATCTTTTATGTAGTACATGGAAAATTTATTCACAAAATAATTTTGGAGAAAATTGTTCGTTTCTTATAGCATCACCCTATTATTCTTGAAGTTATCAATCTTTCTTGTTCTAATTGAAGAGGTTGGTCTCATTTGAACTTAAGCTAAAATTAGAAAAGAATATAATCTTCGTGACTGCAATATTAACAAACCATCTCTAATGTTTAAAAGAAAAGGCATGGAAAGAAAAATCATACACTGCCGCTCACCCCCATTGTACAAAATTGAAGTGTATCAAAGCCCAAAGTTTAGTAGGAAAACTGTATCAGTTAGTTAAGTAAAATGTATGATTAGCAAACTCATGAACATATTACACTTAAGTCTCAGTAATATTACAGTATTAGTTAGTTACAACAATCATTTCACTTTCCTAAGCTTAAGTCTCAGACTCTTCATATTACACTTCTCTCTTGCTAAAGCTTAATTATAAACCAATTACAGAGAAAGAGAAAAATAGAAAGTAAAAAAAAAAAGACAGATGAGCAGTCTTAATTCCAGTCTAGACGATTCCAATATTAGATAACTATCTGTTGGCCTGAGGCCATGGTCCAAATAATGTTCAAGACAACTCAAAAATATAGACAGATGAGCAGTAGTTGGACATGCTAGCATTACAAAATCCTTGTGTTCATCAATAGTTCAGAATGATGATTCAACCTAACCAATACAGGTTTAAATTATGCATGACAGTGAATAAATTATCCCAAAATGATAGTAATTTGTTGTTATGTTAAATATAAGCTAGCAGTTCATACCATGTGGAGGAGCACCCATGTCTAAAGCCTCCAAAAGATAGCCAAATTTTGCTTCAGCCTGTAGACAAAACAGAGCCCATATTACATTTGGGTCAATAGTTTCTAGATTTAACATTTGGCTATTCCTTTCCTTGGGAGCAATAAGTATTAACACATCAATCTAAGGAAATTCAAAAGTTCCAAGTGGTGTCCAATTGGAACTCACCTTTAAATGGTAAATATATGTGGCTGTATCTATCATTTCAAAAATATTTTAACTAAAAAGAAAATAAAAATCAGAAAGTAGTGTGCAAACCACAGTGATCTACCCAAAACTTGCCAGGAACTATTTTCCAAAGTGCCAACATCACATGTGTTTCAATTCAATGTAGTGTGCACACCACAGTGATCTAATATCTTGAAGAATTGGTCAATGCATGAAAATATATTGATGATTGTTAGAAGTACAATGAAAATTTTGGCCCATAGAAGTATGAAAACCATGATAATATTAATATCAGGTAATTCAAAAGATCTACATATACTTTCTCCAATTTGGTACTTACATATTGCATTAGATGGGAATATAAAAATAATTTACAACGTAAGAGATAAAACACAGCCCTAGTAATTAATAATTGAGCAACCCAACCAGTATTCCTTAAGTGTCTCCTCACCTGCTCAGGGGAAATGCCAACAATTTCCAAAACATTTTCTTGAATCTCACGCTTATAAATTCTCAAGCTTTCTCTAGCAATCTGATAGCACCACAACAATTAAGGCCTCGTTTGGGGACTGACTATTTTAGTCAAAAAGCCAACTAAAACTAGTCACATCACCTCTCTACTTTTCTGTACATCTTTTCGTAAAAAGCCAAAAAGTTACTAAAATAGCCTGTTCCCAAACGAGGCTTAAGTATTGCACCGTTGAATTTCACATGTTAAGTATTGGCAAAAGATCAATATTGCAACTAACAGAGAATAGAGTACATATTTATATACCTCAAAAAAACACTCATCAGTTCTACAGTGAGCAAGAAATTGGGTACCGATGATATGTATACAAATTGGGTACCGATGCTATTAAATAAAATATCCATTATATAATCATTGAAGTGGATTCCACACCAACTGATTGTGTGAATGCTATTTGTTAATTGCTCCTCGTGCAACAAACCAAGTGCCAGAACATTCCTGAAAAATGTAAAGTCTTAAAAAAACAATTTTACCCTTCTCATTATATGAACAAAGGTATTATATTAAAATAGTCATTATATATACATAGAGATAGAAAACTAATTACCTCACATTAATAGTTTTCAATGCATGCATTTTATGGGATTTTGGTTTTCATGTTTTAATTATGTTAATTTATTAGTTCTTGAAATATGAAATCTATGCTTCAATTAAAATATTTGTTGACCAAGTAGCACTTTTTACTCTGTTAACTTTTAGAATTGGATTTGTAACTGACAAAGTGATGAAATAAGAATACACGAAAAGAAGAGGCAAAGACTACCTCTGAGAAGCCAGCCGGATTAAGGATTGCCCGCACATTTTCTGACATAAAATCAACTCCTAGAACTGTGATATATTTGGCAACTAACTTTTACCATCTTGACAGTCGAATCTGCCATAACCAGCGAATCAAATATATGGATGTGAGGCCAGTGCTTCTGGGCAGCAGTTAAGACCCCTTGGACCTCAGGATCTATGTAAATAAAAATAGTAGAAATTATTTTTTGCATAGCATAGCAATTAGAATCGATTTCATAGCAATTAGAATTGATTTCATCCCAAAACCCAAAAAATGAGAAGAATCCAAGACATCAAAGGTCAGAGAGACCCGAAATTAGATGCAAAGAGATAGTAAAAATAATGAAAAAGGGCAATTGTCACTGCGAAAACATCATGATTTCCAAATTAGTATCTAATTATCGTCATCGCACACATGAACTATCCCAATTTGAAACAAATGAGACCTGGACATTCCCGTGATCGAACCATACCTGTTTAGATACTTTTGATGACGACAGCCAATTTAGATATTCAACACAAATAAGTATTTCAAAACACAATTTCAATTAACTTATTTTGAAATTGGGTTTTCAAAACACACGATTTTGAAGCACAATTTAAAAAATCAATTGTTGCATTTAAAAAATAAATAAATTGTTAATATAAAAACAATTATTTAAACAACAACAATCCTGTAGCATTATTCTTTAAACAATTCTGCGCAATTATTTAACTAAAGCTACTTTTTCTTTTCTTCTTCTACTTCTTTTTGTTTTTGTTCTTTTTTGAGCAGATAGCTCTGTCTCTCTTCTGAGCAGATAGCATTATTCAAGTTTGAGCTTCGAATGGGAGTCATAACCCAGTTAATAAACATTACAACACATTAAAAATCACAAACCCAAACCCAAATCTTAGAAAACATGAGTCACTCTCATATTTACACCTTAGATTAAAAACAACAGAGCAAACACCTTAGATTAATCCCATTATTTACACCTTATAAGCATAAATGGATTTCCACCTTATAATTAAACACCTTAGTCCACCTCATATATTAAATGGATTTCCACGCTAAAACACCTTAGTCCCTCTCATTATTTACACCTTATAAGCATAAACCAAGATTAATCCCATCTGTATCAATGAATTTCCAAAAATGGCGTAATCGTATATAATAAATGCAATCAAAACACAATAATTTACCTAACATTACTAAACAATAAATCATCCGAAAAACACCTATTCGTAATTTCTGATTTCAAAATCAAAACAACAATTAAAACAACAATAGAAAAAAACATGTTCACAGCCTGAATGTTAGGATTACAAACCCAGAATAAACAATGGAAAATAACTCTAAAACAAAACCCTAAAATAACGAAAAATAGCCATAAAACAAAACCCTAAAATAACCTGTTTACTTGACAGAGAGGATTACAAACCCATAATAAACAATGGAAAATAGCCCTAAAATAACAGAAAATAGCCTTAAAACAAAACCATAAAATAACATGTTCACAGCAACAGAGAGGACTGGAGAGGCAAACACAAATAGAGAGAGGAGGGAGAGGTAGAAATCTTACCTTGCGAGCAGCGTCGGGAGAGATACAGCCGAGTTTGAGAGGCAGAAGACTGGAGAGCAGTGGAAGAGGGATGGTAGGAAAGAAGAAGAACAGAAAGAGAGAGAGAGATAAAGAGGGAATGGGAAGGAGAGTGGGTGAGAACAGAGAGGGAGAGATATAAAGAGGGAATAAGGAGGAGACGGTGTAGGTGGAAGGCTGAGGGAGATAAATATTTGGGCTTGAAATACATAGATCTGAGCCATTGATATAAATTTGGGATTAATCTTAGCCATTAAATTAAAATGTATTTTTTAAAAAACTTTGTGCCTTATTATATAGATATATAATATATATATAAGAGGGTATTTATTTAATATTTAATATTAATATTAAAATTATATATAAAAGAGTATTTATTCAATATTTAATATTAATATTAAAATATTGATAAAGACTTTTGGGAGGTCATAGCCGCCTGGACCAAACCAAGAAAAAGACCCAAACGAGTCATGCGATGATATTCAAGTTGTTTTTCATCTTCATTCCAAGAAATGGCTTCAAAAGACAACCCAACCAAACCCTAGATTGACTCTCTCTCTTCATTACCTTCTTGCAGATTCTCGTCTCCCTCTCTTTCAGAATCGCTGATCAATTTGCCGGAAAACAATTACACAGCGATTCTATTCCTTGCGCGACGAGATCTCTGCAGATCTAATTCAAAATAGGTAACTATATATTTATATATGTATTTGTGTATCTTTCTTTTTTTTTTGTTGAATCTGGACGTTTATTTATTCCAATTTTTTTTTGTGGGTTTGGTTCGAAATCGATTTCTGCGTATTGGGTTAATTTAGGTCTGATCTGTTCGTTGGGATTGTAAGAATTTAGGGTTTCAAAGGTTTATGGATTGATTGGTTTGTGTTACTTTCTTTTTAGCTGTTTGGGAAATGTAAAGATATATGTTGATGTCTTTGAGACCAGATATTTGTTTGTTTTGCTGTTTCTTGTACCTTGTTATCCTCTCTCTGTGTTTTTTTTTGTTGTATTGTGTTTTTAAGCTCAATTCAATGCACGTGGTTCCGAATTTATTTAGTTTAAGTGGGGTATTTGGATATCTTTAGGTTTGGTTTGTTTGTCTTACATGTGCAAATTGAAAATAGGTTTCCAGTTGCTGGATTCAAATGTATCTATTAGCTTGTGAAGCACAGACATGGTCACGTGTGCACAGTTTGTTTTGTGTTGCTGAAAATTCGATAGGTGTACCTGCCAAAACAGAAACTGATCATGTTTTTTTGACCGATAAAGCGATTAGGAAAAAGTCATTAAAGATGAAAATTACTTAAAATTTTTAATGAGGCCGTCTTTAGGGTTTCATATGGTAAGCTTTTAAGTGGATCAGGAAAATGTTGTGCCATGTTCTGGAAACAGGATGCTGATTATTGAACTGGGGTGCTTCTATCTGTACGTATTACCATTTTATTTTATTCAAATTACTTCAAAAGTGTCATGTGCAATTCTTCTTAATGGCATACTCTATAACCACTAACTATTTTACTTCTTGATCAGATAGTAAAAGCTTTTGCGTATTGATTGTCCTGTTACCTAATGGGTATTGTAATTAATGAAGTAAAGCAAATAATTGTGTCGTTTTCTCTTGAAAAAACATGTTGTAGGTGAATACGATCATAGTTGTCAAATTGGGATTTGAATCTTGTATTTTTATTTATTTATTTATTTAATTTTTTCTGAATCACATATTGTGTATCGGAAGTTTTTTTTTTTTAACACCTTGGAAAATAGGTAGAAAAATAAATATAGTTATATTAAAAACAAATATTTTGTGAGCAGTGTTATGAAAAGCGCGCCTAGCTGTGCGCTTAGGCCCAAGTCCCATCCTGACACAAACCGTCTTGCATTGTTCCAACTGAGGTGACTTCAATAGGTTGCACTTTAGGTGTGCACCTGGCCCAAGGTGCAGGCCTTGAGGGCTTTTTATTATTATTATTTTCCTTTGATTGATTTTGTTTGAAATTTGACTATTGATTTAATATGGTTCAGCTACAGCAGATCCTTGCTCTTAAGTATACATGCCAATACATTAGGCATTGAGCCCCAAATAAACGACAGAATGAAAATTAGCAGATCCTTACTCTTCTCTTCTCTTTACCTTTTTGCCGCCTCCTCCTCCTCCTCCTTCTCATTCTTCTGCCATCTTTTCTGAATTGGTTATTTATTTATTTATTTATTTTTTCTCTTCTTATTCTTCTTCCCTCCCCTTCTCTTTCATATTTTTTTCAATTCTTATTCTTCTTTGCCGCTCTTCTTCTTCTTCTTCTTGATGTTTGAAATGCTTAAACTTGAAATATTGTTGTTGGTTGAAATTTAGATCATGGATGTTCGTGTTTTATGTTGAACTTTGAAATATTGTTCACTTGTCTATGTTAAAATAGTGGTGTTTGTTAAAATTTATGTTTTAAAATGTTCAATATTTAATTTGCTTATGTTAAACCCTAAATTATTTGCTTATTTTAAATTTTTTATTTTTTTATTTTTTTTACCTTCAAGGTGTGCCTTACTCCGGTGAAGCCTATGCCTCGGCTTGCACCTTGCACCTTGCACCTAAGTCCCAGGAGACATTGGCGCCTCGTGCCTATCGCCTTTAATAACATTGCTTGTGAGAATAAAACACTAAACAATGTATAATTCTTAAAATTTTATGAGTAAGGTTCCTTAAATCAAAGATATACATGTATCCACATTTATGTAATACATATAAAACGCAGATCGGAGTTTTTTTTATTTTATTTATGTATGAGTATGACAAAAAATACAACATTTTAGTACTTTATTCTAATCAATTTTTCCCTCAAATACCATTTTTGGTAATTGTGTAATATGTTGTATATTTATACTTGCAATTATATTATATTACTATGTAAGAAATGTTATAATTCTAATTTCATAAAACAAGTAAACATGACTTGAAGTATCCGATACTTCAAAATTAAGTATCCGATACTCTAAAATTAATGAAAAAATAATTAAGAAGTATCCGATACTTTTAATAAGTATCCGATACGTATCCGCGAGTATCCAAGGAGTATTGGTATCCGTATCGGATACCGATACGGAACGTCACCCTATTTGAAGTATCCGTGCTTCATAGGTATTGATTTACGTCTAAAAAGTATTGAATCGTAAGAAATGTAATGTTAATTGCAAGATATTGACAACACTAGATATGATGCATTTGGATATTTGTAAAATTGTAATTGTGAAGTTGCTTTTAAACAATATATGACACATATGGGAAGTATTGATTTTAGCAAATGCTAAGACTATAAATGGGCCTGTCCATTGAGATGGTCAAAACTTATAGGTGAATTTTGTGTACCTTATTTTTATTTTTATTTTTATTTTTTTATACTAATGCATCTCATGCCAATTTAGGTCTATTAATTTTCCATGTACATCATATGTGAAACCCATGTACAACTTAGACTCTTGAGCTTTTAATTGTGTTCCATAATATTTGTCCCACAATATTTATTTACTAAATAAAAAGAATGAATTAATGAGAACAAAAACCGGTATACATAATTTTTTTTTGGTTTTACTCTTTCAAATCATTCACTAGGATAAACTTTATTCACTTAAGTTTTTTCTAAATTTCATACCAACTGTTTTTCTTTCTTTTTGTTTCGGTTAGAATGTTTCCATATATATATATATAACCTTCATCTGCTTGTTTGCTGTGTTCAATATTGAACTCAGCATTTTAACAGTATCGTGACTTTAAATTTGTTTTAATTTTCTCTTTCCAATTTCTGCTAATTGTTGTCGGTATAGGCACTACTACTAGTTTTTTTCCTTCTTGTAGTAGAATCGATGATATACAGTTTTTGTTCAATTCATCTTGCTTGTAAGGTACCTAATACCATGGTTGTTAAAATCGGGATCCTACGTTGGATCGTTGGAGTTGCTTATAGGATCGAATCGTAGAATCGGATCGAGGATCGTAAGATCCTACCGAAAAAGGCAAATTATGTAATAATTTAATTTAAATAAACATTTCTTAAAAAGTATACACAAAATGAGCCTATATTTTATTAAAAATAAGTGAAAATATTATGAAAAATATAATACTCTTTATGTAAAATGTACATATAATATTATACAATAAAAAACTCGATAGTAAAAGTTTTGTATTTCATCAAAAAAAAGAAGAAGAATAATTTTATAACAAAATATTTTGCAATCTACAATAATACATAAAAAGTTAAGAAAAAATATTTAACAAAGTTGGATATGAAAATAGATTAAAAACTCAAAAGAACAGCTTAACCGAATGATAAGGTTTGTCATTAGCATCCTTGGTGGAGCGGATTTGAGTCACAAAAGTAATCTCTCCAAAAATTGGGATAAAGTTGCAATCATCTTACCCTCCTTAGACTCCACTAAAGCTAAGTTTGTTTTTTCAACTAGTTAATTTTCTTAAATTACCACAATATTTGAATGCTTGTTTCCTAGTTTGTTTTTCTTAGTCTATTTGATTTAATATTACTTAACTTTTATTATTTATTTTGATCACATAAATTGGTATTTAGACAACAAATATAAAATTTACAATAAAATATGCCATACAATATAAAACAAGGCTTGTAAATTGGATCGGATAGAATCGGATTCGGATCGGGACTCCATGATCCTATAAGATCCCATTATCAGGATCGAAAGATCCTACCTATAAGGAATTTTTTACACGATCCGGATCGATTGTACTCAAATGGATTGTAAGATCGTAGGATCGTAAGATCCGGATCGGGTTTGTCTGATAATCTGTGAGGATTGCAATCATATCAATAAAGTAAATGAAACAGTGATCTGTATTTGTTCCATATAAAACTTCAACACTTGCATCTCCTTTCAAGCATGACCTTCAGCTCCTCTCTCAAATATGGTTGACATGACTAATATATTTCAGGTTGCAATAATAATATGGTCACCATATGCTGCATTAGTTCCTTTGATTTCCCTATGAAGAGTTATGTTCTTACAATGGGAAGAATATATGGGGTTTTGGGATCCTTAATAAAGGATTCAAGTTGCAGTTGAAAGGGCTAATGGTGGCCCATCTTAAATGGTTCCGTAAACATGGATCCCTTATAGTTCCATAAACGTGGATCCCTTTTTTGGCATGTTTTTCAGCAATATTATTTTTAAATTCAAATCTTATAGTTATGTTTGTGCTTGTATGCGTCTTTGCATTTCTTTTAAAATTTTCATTCTGATTGAGTTGTGTATTGGTGCAGGCAGTTATTTGAAGATTAAATGTTTTATGTTGCTATTGAAGTTATATCTTTTGGAGTTGAATTTGGTCGAACTTCTTTGATGGATAATGACCATTCCGATGGATAATACTTTAGATCTTTCAACAAGAGAGCGTGTTCAACGTCTTTACACCAAGGTATTCCTTTGCTTTATCTCTGAACTTTTGTTCAGCTAAATGATTGGATTAGAACAATGTAATTTTTATTGTTGAGTACAATGGATCCTTTGTTCATGTGCCTGCAAAGGGTATAGCAATCTAGTTATTTATGTAAAAAGGGTAAGAGTGATGCATATGTGCTTTATTTTGGGTGAATATTGATGAAAGGATGTAGGAATTAAAATTATGTACATAGTATTTTTCTCATAATGTTTAGAGGAGCATAATATATATCAAAAGAATCTAGTAGGATTTATCCAAAAGAAAAAGAAAAAAGAATCTAATAGGCCGGTCCTGTTTAGAAAACTTTTGAGTATTTATTTGTTATTATTATTGTTGTTGTTTTTGCTGTTGTTGTTGTTGTTGTTGTGTTGGTTATTATGACCAAGTTGTTTGACATTCATCTCTTCACTATAGAATGTTGAATTGGAGAATAAGCGTCGGAAAGCAGCACATGCCAGGATTCCCTCAGATCCCAATGCATGGCAACAGATGCGAGAGAACTATGAAGCTATTGTTCTTGAAGATCACGCTTTCTCTGAACAGCATGAAATAGAGTATGCTTTGTGGCAATTGCATTATAGGAGAATTGAGGAGTTGCGTGCACACCTTAGTGCTGCTCTTGCATCAGCAGGATCGGCCACGTCTCAAAATGGGAAAGGTGCCACACGTCCTGGACCTGATCGAATCGCAAAAATTCGTACCCAATTTAAAACCTTCCTTTCGGAAGCAACTGGGTTTTATCATGATTTGATGGTAAAAATTAGATCTAAATATGGTCTACCATTAGGTTATTTCTCTGATGATCAACAAAATCAGATTTTGTCCCAAGATGGAAATATATCTGCTGAAGTCATGAAAGGCTTGGTATCTTGCCACCGTTGTTTGATTTACCTTGGGGATCTTGGTCGTTACAAAGGGTTATATGGAGAGGGTGAGTCCAAAGCTAGAGATTTTGCAGCAGCATCAAGCTACTATATGCAAGCTTCTTCACTTTGGCCTTCAAGTGGCAACCCTCATCATCAGGTGTTCCCATGTGATCCCTTCATATTGTAGCTTGCTTACAATTCATGTCCGTGTTAAAGTCTGCTATGGCTTTTTTTCCCCCCCTGTATAATTGCCGTATGGTGATAAATCCATGTTATTGAACTCATCATTTGCTTATTCTCAGCTTGCAATACTGGCTTCATATTCAGGGGATGAATTATTGACCATTTACAGATATTTCCGAAGTTTGGCGGTTGATAACCCTTTTTCGACAGCAAGGGATAATTTGATCATTGCATTTGAGAAGGTAAGCATGTGCTATGTAGAACTGGTGTGTTGATGAAACTGTGTATTGTATTTCTTTTGTATGCTAGTCCAGTTTTAATTATCTGTCATAAGGATACTTGGAGTTTTTTTAGTAACCATACCATGCTATAGTCTTGAAAACAAGGCAATGCTTGAGAAATATGGGTCATAGAGTAAGTGCATATCCACTTCTGATTTTTGACATCAAGTGATTGTTGTTCCACGAGACCATATGGATTCCTGTGCTGGCTGGCCAACTTGGAAGAACTGTATGCTGCCTTAAATTTGGACTATTGGGTTTTGGCATGGCAAATGTTGATACCTTATGTTTGGAAATACTGGTATGGTACACCATGTTTGCACCAGTTGGTCTATCTGGAAAACTCTGAACTTCTGGGTAAAAGGTCCGCTTTTGTAAAAATGCCAAAAAACCATCAAGCTGTCATGAGCCAAAAAGGCCAATTGTTACAGCAGCTTTTTCACTCACAAAAAGCAGGTTTTTTAGCAACTAACTGAAAATGCCAAAAAGCAAAAAGCCACTTAAAAAGCCAACCCAAACACCCACTAAGCAGTTACAATAGTGTCTCTGTACCTGACCTGATATTGAATTTAGCAAGACCTGTACACAGGTGTGGATGTGCACACTCACATCATGCATGTTCTCAGGAATAGATAGAAAAATTGTGGCCATTTATCAAGATGATTGCAGGTTTATCATTGTGTTGTTTGGGGAGAGGTGTATTTGTATTTTACATAAAGCACTTCGTTCCTCTTTTCGGTCACCACCAAAGTGATGACCTCACTCCAAAATCAGATTCGCCATTTAAATTGAGTCAGTGGTGCACTAGACCCTTTTTTCTGCTGGGAAAATATAATCTGTGAATATCTTTTCGGATATTCTTACACAGGAGCTCAAGGAATTTCTGTGTATGGATTTGTGGCTGCATTAACTGCAATGCTTCATGTTGGTTTCCATTGAAATGCTTGCGATCAATTTCATTCCGTCTCTTTTCTCTGTCTTCTCTCTCTATTTTTTTTGAAGGAAATATGAACAAATGTGCATTGATTGTCTAGTATGCAGTCATTGTTAGGCTTAGGTGCAATGGTGGTGTTAGATACAGACTGATGAAGATTTGTATCTAAGGCCTCGTTTGTTTTCAGAAGTAGAATGGAGGGGATTAAGTAAAATTGTGTTTATTTTGATGATAGTTGTTGATGTAGGGATTGTTAAATTATTTTTATATAAAATAATAAAACAAATAAAAAAAATACAAAAACATGAAACATTAATGTTAAAAAAAAAAATGCCCAACATGTAAAAAATAAAAAAATAAATAAAAAATAGAAAAAAATAAAACAAATAAACAATGATTTTTACTTAACAAAAAATACAAAAAATTAAACATTAATGTTCAAAAAAAAAAAAAAATGCCTAACATGTAAAAAAAAAAGAAAAAAGAAAGTCCAGCGGTACTATTTTTTTAATACCACATCCACCTCCTCCATTCCAATCCCATTTCCAAGGCCCAACCTAATCTAGACCTCCATCTCAATCTCTTTCTCAAATCTGCAAACAAACACAACATTAAATGGGTCTCACCCTATGAAGCATGGACACTCCAAAATTGATGCCGTAGCAGTGTCCGACACGCGGACACGCCGGGGACACGGGGACACGCCGTGGACACGTACGGGACACGCCAGATGGCGTGTCCCTTTAATTTAATGATTTTTTTGGAAGGGGACACGGCAGGGACACGGAGGGGACACGCGTGTCCATTTCTGGACACGCCATGGGACACGGCGGGGCTCGTTTTTGAATTTTTTATATTTATTTGGGGTCAAAGTATAATATTTATAAAGTAAAAAAAAAAAAAAAAAAAAAAAAGGCCCTAATCGAAACTGAGTAAAGGAGAAAAATTAACCTTCTCTCTCAGTCGAAGCCCGATCGAAGCTCTGTCTCTCAGTCACAGTCCTCCGACGTCGATCGCAGCCTCCGACGTCGATCGAAGCCCTCTGACGTCGATCGCAGCCCTCTGACGTCGATCGATCGCAGCCCTCAGTCCCTGCTCCAGTCGTCTTCAAAGGTAAGCCCGTCTCTCGCTCTCTCTTTCGCCTGTCTCCTCTTTCGCTCTCTCTCTCTCTCTCTCTCAGCTTTCGACTGAGATGAGATGAGATTGAGTTTTATTTTTATTTTTTTTTATGTTTATATATGTTATTATATGTAACATACTCTTTTTTTTATTTATTTTTTATTTTGATACTCTTTTTTTATTTATTTTTTATTTTGATATATATTAATAAGCCTCTTTTTTTTATTATATTTTTTTATTTTGATATATATTATATATAAGACTTATATATATATATATATATGTAAGAACTTTTTTTTTTTTTAATTATATGTTTATATATATGTATATATATAAAACTGTATTTAAATTCTGTTTTTTTTATTTAAACTCTTTATTTAGATGAGACTGTTTTTTTTAATTATATGTTTAAATTCTGTTTTATTTAAATTCTATTTAAGCTCTTTTTTTTTGTTTTTTTTAATTTTTTTATTTATCCTTCTAATGTTAATGTTAATTTATAGGAAAAATGTCTAGTTCAAATTCTGCCAATAACACACCATCTGCCTTTGATGCTAAAGATGATAAGCCACTGTGGAAATATGTGACTAGATTAGAAAAATCTGGTGCAAATGGGGGGAATTATACTTTTCAATGTAACTTTTGTCGGGTTACATGTAAAGGTTCATACACTAGGGTAAAAGTCCATTTGATGCAAATTAAAAATCAGGGGATAGAAGTGTGTCCAAATATTGTTGGATGTTTTCCCCTTATATTTATTGTTGGATGTTGGATGTTGAATCTTTTGCCTCTCTTATATTTATTGAATTAATGGTACTATATTAGTGTTTGTTAATTTTGATTTAGAATGAATGTAATACGAATCTACATAATAACACATAAAAATATATATATATATAAAAAAATAAAAAAATCGCCGTGTCCCCTGCCGTGTCCGTGTCCCCATTTTTTGGAAATTGCCGTGTCCCGTGTCCGTATCCGTGTCCGTGTCCGTGTCAGTGTCCGTGCTTCATAGGTCTCACCTCTATCCTAATCCCATCCCTCCCTCTATACCCCAAAACAAACGGGGCCTAAAGGTTTAGTTTGTGTTTGCCACTATATTTGATGTTATTCATGGCACTGATGAACGCAAACTAGTTTGGTTTCTGTTTGAAAATCTGCCTCCGTTTGGGAAGTGGGTTGGCTTCTTGGTTTTTTTTGCCTATTTTAGCTTGGGCTAAAAAGCTTGGTTTGGGAAGGGCTTTTTGGCTTTTTTTGTGAGAGAAGAGTAATGATTATGGATTGAATGTGATGTTTTGTTTGTTGTGGCTAAAATAGCCTATTTTGTCTTTTGTGGCTAAAATAGCCAAAAAAAGCTCTTGCCAAACGGAGTATACTTGTGTTTAAGAAATGTTAATTATGGCTTTAGCTGTATTTTATTTATTTATTTTTTGCAGAACCGTCAGAATTATTCTCAGCTGTTTGGGGATGCCAAAGCTTCTGTTAAGATGCCCCCTGCACGGATGACTGGAAAAGGGAGAGGAAAAGGGAAAGGTGAAACAAGGGTTCCAAAAGATGATAGGGTGGAAGCTAGTCTTGTCAAGGAAAAAGCATCTTTACCTGAGATTTTTAAAGCCTTCAGCATTTGTTTTGTCCGACTTAATGGTATTCTTTTCACACGGACAAGGTATGTCTTGTGATCAAAATGGTTTAGGTTGTATATGGCAGTCCAGTCAAATCATTTGGTAATGTTTCTCTGTTATCTTTTTCCAGCTTGGAGACATTTGGGGAACTTTTCTCTATGGCTAGAAGTGATTTGCTGGAGCTTCTTGCTTGCGGTCCAGATGAGGAGTACAATTTTGGTTCAGATGCTGCTGAATGTAGACTTGTGATTATCAGACTGATAGCCATCCTCATATTCACTGTTCACAATGCAAATAAAGAAATTGAAAATCAGTCATATGCTGAAATTTTACAACGTTCAGTTCTGCTTCAGAATGCATTTACTGCTATTTTTGAGTTTATGGGGCATATAATTCTCAGATGCATCCAGTTGAATGATCCTTCAACAAGCTATATGTTGCCTGGCATAATGGTTTTTGTGGAATGGTTAGCTTGTCGGCAAGATATTGCAGTTGGCACTGAAGTGGAGGAGAAACAAGCTAGTGCTAGATCATTTTTTTGGGATAACTATGTTTCCTTTTTGAACAAGCTTTTGTCAAGTGGATTCTCATCTATTAATGAGAATGAAGATGAAACATGTTTCTTCAATATGAGCAGGTATGATGAATGTGAAACTGCCAATCGGCTTGCATTGTTTGAAGACTTTGAATTGAGAGGATTCCTGCCTCTGCTCCCTGCACAACTAATCCTTGATTTTTCGAGGAAACATTCATTTGAAAGTGATGGTGGCAATAAAGGGAAGAAAGCTCGTGTTCAGAGGATTATAGCTGCTGCAAAGGCTCTTTCTAATGTGGTTCGTGTTGGGAAACAGGGAATTTATTTTGATCCAAAGTTGAAGAGATTTGCTATAGGTGTTGAACCACAAATGTCAGATGATTATTTGCTTTGTAGCTCCTTAGAGATACCCAGATTAAATGGTACCATGCAAGAAAATCCAGCAGAAAGTCAAGTGAATCTTGGACTTTTGCAGCCAAAGCCACAGTTATACATGGAAGGGGAAGAAGAGGATGAGGAGATTGTTTTCAAACCAACTGTGTCTGAGAAGCATACTGATGCTGCTTCAAAACCAAGCTCTTTTGAGGTTTTGGGGTCTGTTGTTAATTGCTCCAAGGCTGATTGCGCCAAGGCTGATTCGGGAAATAACGTTGGGTTTGTTTCAGCCTCTAATGATGGTTTCCTTTTGCCAAATGCTTTTAATACAAGTTCAAGGCCACCTACATCTCTTGCTAATATTACTGCTCAGTATTTGCAACCAATCCAGCCAAATACTTCAATGTGGCTGGCACAAGAACAGGTTTCTATTGCAAATGAACTGACCAATTTGAGCTTATTGGAGAATGGGTTTCCTATGAAACATGGTTTGCAAGATCATTTGGGAGCTTTGCAGCCTATTGCGCTTCCAGTTCCATTTCCTCATCAGTATGTGAATCTCAGTGCTGGAAACAAATATCCAGTTCAGGTCTCTGAAACTGCAGTGCCTTCTAAGTTCGATTCGATTATGTCATCGGGAACTGTTTTGGATAGTTTGTCCATGAAGCCATTGTCAATGATGCCTGCAGGTTTGAGAAAGAATCCAGTGAGCCGACCCATCAGGCATTCGGGTCCTCCACCTGGATTTAACTCTGTTCCTCCCAAACTTGTTGATGAGTCCTTGTCTGGTGTAAGACTGAAGAATGAAAATCCACCAATCGATGATTATAGCTGGCTAGATGGATATCAATTGCCGTCATCAACCCAAGGCATTGGATTCAGTAATACCATAAATCAGTCAGCAGAGGCATATCCTGTGAGTAAGATCAATAGCTCGATGGGGATGGTAGGCTTTCCCTTTCCTGGAAAACAAGTGTCGACACTGCAAGTCCATGGAGAAAAACAGAATGGCTGGCAGGACTATCAGTTTTCTGAACGTCTGAAACTATATCAGGAACAGGAACAGCAATTTCAGAAAGGAAATCAACAGTCTATTACATTGCCAGAGCAGTATCAAGGTCAGACTCTCTGGGAAGGTCGTTTCTTTGTGTGAGATGATTATGGGAGATAGATGGTAAGCCAATGCCTTTTTAGGTTCTTTATTATTATAAACAATGTTTTCTTTTGGCTGGTGAGATGAGCTGATTTTACCTGGTGATTTCTGTCTGTGAAAGCACTGCAGGTTTTTGGGGACTTTCCCTTTAATTTTTCTCAGAATCTAGTGTTGATTTTTTTGCCATTCAGGTTGTGAACAGTTTACTGTGGTTGATGTCCAGTGACCTGGTGCTACCAGTTCAGAGTTCGCCTTTGCAGAGCCAATGTTATTTTCTGTTGGAATATGGATGGTCTTGGATTGTTGCAGGCACTTGCTGATGAACAGGTTTGCGTGTGTGCGCACACCATTATTTTGTTTGAATCTGAAAGTTTATGTCATTTATCATTCTTCTTGCATTTTCTCAATTCAAGATATTTGTGTACACAGCCTTCAAATACTTTCCAGTCCAAAAGAACCAAGTACAAGTCATAAGAAGTGCTGTTGACTTTGAACCTGTGACTTCTCAATATATATATATATATAAATAAAGTGCGCCTTTGGTTCTTCCATTTTTGCAGTGGCCAAAACTGTGGAATTGTCAGCCAAATTCACCTAACCGAAGCTTGAACTATTTCTGTTTTAGTAGTATTTAGCATAGCTTTAACCGAATTTGTTGATGTTTCACTCAACATCCCAGATAAGCCCACGCATACATGAAAAGATATTCCTGAGTGGCCAACCAAGTTGGTGAGTGGGTATGCTCCCCACGTATTGATGAGGGTTTGAATTCCTCCTATTTGCTTGGTTCACAAGATTATGTGTGACAGTTTGAACCTAAAATTTACCTTTCTAGAGCGGGTCCAAAGGGCCCTGCCTAGGATGGGTTTTGATTGTCAAAATAAAAGACAAAAGGGAAAAAAAGGAAAAGGTTCCATTGGTCGAGTTTTAAAAGATTTTGCTGAATCCAGAGGCATTGTCTGCCAGCCATTTGGTATCATGATTTTCTTTGGCCTGGTTTTATTACTTGTATGCTATTGACAATGCTTTCTTATAGGTCTATATTTCTTGGTTTTTAAGGTTTTGAATTAGTGGTCTTATTTTATTTTCTTTTCTTTACACAGCTTGTGCCGAGCTTTCCAGATCGCATGAATGAAGATCATGAAAGTCAATAGGTGTGGGAAATGCGGATTTTATGAGGGTAAGATCTTTGTCTGGTTGGATGGGTTTGGGCATCTAACGTGTAAGCAATTTCGGAAAGCGGTGGGCAAGTATTTGAAGTTGGATGAACCGAACTACTACTAGCTATTATAGTTGACTGATAAAAATCTATCTGCCAGATGGGAACACGAGTAGTTTTTGCGATGCTTGCCATGATCAGCAGTCTCTGTCTATAATAGACATCTTGGCGGTTTCTGCAGAGCTGCCTTGAAGTTCTGAGAGATCTAATTGAACTCAACAAAAGTTATGTGAAAAGTCTGGTTAATCCTGGGTTGGAATGTGATGGTAGATGAAAATAAGTCACTGGTTACAGAGGCATTTTGGTATTTATCTTTCTGTGTCTGATTAATCCAGCCCTTTATCAACTCACGCTTTTACACTTGTTGCTTGAACTCAAAATGGTTTTTCTAGTGTTGCAAGTTGTGAGCTTTTGTGGATGAGTAATTAACTTTGGTTTGGTTTGCCTAATGTCAATAGTGGTTATTAAGAAGCTATTCTTTATGCTGTGTTTCTCTATATTCAATTGAATACGACAAGTATGTTTGTGTGTTGTGGATTGGTCCTGTGGAACCTCTCATGATTGTGATTGTGAATATGTTAGATGTGCTTTAGCAATCGTAGTTTATCTGGTTACGTTGATTATTTTAGGGTTAATGACACTTTGCTCCTTATAATTTTTTAAAGTTGCACTTTTCCCCATCTAATTAAGAGTTTCACATTACACCTTCAATTTTTATAGACAGCTGCAATGTGTTCAAATCCCGTATATTCTTCCACACGTTTTGGCTGGTGAAACAGGAAGATTACATTGATTATGACCCTACCATTTTGACCCTATTTTGTTGTTGAATACAGTGGGGGTTCTAAGCTCTTTGATGGCAGCCAACTACAGGGATGAAACCAGATTTTGGGGATTTAGTTTTGGGTTTTTAGTTGTTTTCTGGAAATAGTTCCAACAACAATTTGGTAGATTTAGGAGTAGTTTGCGTTTGGGATATTTTTTGGTGATTTGATAAACATGCTTTGAATGCAAGCATGATATAATTATGTTTGGATTGTTAATGGATTTTGGATAAAGTATATTTTATATTGCAGTTTATTAAAATTTGTTGGGGGAAATTATAAAAAAAGTTTGATATTTATAGCAAAGCAAATCGGGAGTTTTTAATTTTGTCAATTTAAATTTTAAATTTGTTTTTAATTTTTCATCAAACTCAATAAAAGATGAAACATTAGATATTTTATGTATATTTAGATTGAATTTAATGATTAAAATTTTATTTTATTTTTATTGGTTTTACTCAACGGAATAGGCTGATGGTTTATATTAAAAATAAATTAAAAGATTATAATTTAAATTGATAAAATTAAAAATTTAAGATTTATTTTGCTAAAAATGTAAAACTTTGACATTTTTATTTATTTATTATTTCTTCAAAATTTATTCAACGACAGGTAACCCAAATTTAATGAAGGTACAAAAGTTTATTCTCCACTAACTGGCTTGGCAACGTGAGGGATTATTTAGTGGTTTTGGAGTAATACTCAGACATAACACCATTCAATATATATGGTATTTGTTACATTGTTTTTTCTAACTTTTTTGATTTGCATTGACCAATAAAAATCAAGTTGGGAAGTTACGAGTATTTGCTTCGATATCACCAAATAATTTTCTTTTTAGTTATTGAAAAAATCATCCTAAAAAAATTAAGATTTTTTGTGGCACACTGTAAATTGGATTAGCTCGAATTCTCCAAAATTATTGTCAATATTTCAAAATTATTCTAATCTATACTATATATTAAGTAAAAAGGGGTTTTTAACCCCAAGTTTTGTGGAAGCTCCAATCTCCCAATCTAAATTTCTTGATTTTTTGATTTAAACAAAAATAAAATCTTAGCATTTATTAATTTCTCTCAACTCCCAAGTCTTACCATCATAATAATACTTTAATGCATTAAGAACAAGCATAATTTTTTTTTTTTTTGAAATCCAACACATGAATTCCTTGAAAAGTCTCAACATATATGATTATTATCCCTCATAATAACACTTTTATGCATTAAGAACAAACATAAATTTTTTTTTTGAAAAGTCCAACACATATGATTATTATCCAAAATATTAAACTTTAATATAATATAATAAAATAAAATAAAAAGACATTTGATTCCTTAAAAAATCTAACACATATGATTATTATCAAAATATTAAACTTTAATATAATATAAAAAAAGAAAAAAAGATGACATTTAAAAATTACAATTCACATATGCCAACAATTCATACCAAAAAGTCAAAGATTCTCTTTTCTCTCTACTTTTTGCACATCTTTTCGTAAAAAGCCAAAAAGTCATCCCAAACGTACTAATTTTTTTTAGCTCATATTTTAATTAAATAGTCAAAAAATTACTAAATTAGCCTGTTCCCAAACGAGACCTAAAAGTAGCTCAGAGTTAACATTTAGGACAATGGTTGAATAAGAGACTGACAAAGGGAAGCAAGATAATTAAAAAAAAAGAATCTTTTAAAAAAATGACGTAAATGGTTACAAAGCCAATTTTACAAATTTCTCTCCATCAAATTAAACCAAAATTGGAACAAATCTCTAAATTATTAAATTCAAACTGGAGAATATTTTTTATTTATTTAAAAAAAAAATAAAAAGAGAAAGAAAATTAAATTGAGAAATCTTTACCAAACTTCAGAAATGAACTCATTTAAATCATTAAATCCTCAAATCCGGAAGAGAGCCTTTAGATTTAGTTGTAATCATAAGAATGAAATTTTAAGGATTATTTTTAATTAAATAAGGAGTTAGCTTATGACTTTACTGAAATTGATGTGTCGAGTTTATTAGAAAAAGAATGAGAAAAAAATCATAGTAAAACCACCAATTTATTACTTAACAAAATCTCAATAATTTTGACATGTCAAAAGAGTCAACAAACAACAATGGTATCCTATTTTAATTGAAAAAATAGGGGGGAAAAAAAACAAGAAAAAAAAAAAACAAGTAAAAGACAATTTCAAAAACCTTAGGCAAGAGAGAATAAAAAGACATCATTTTTTGTTATAATAGTATGTCTATAAATGAACTAAGCAGTATGTAATTTAAACATGATTTGAAAATAGTATAGCTTTACTAACAAAAGAGCTATATAAGTTTTTATAGAATGATGTGGTTGCATCGAGATCTTTCATTTTAAACAACACACAATTACATTCTAAATTCTCACTATACAACACTGTGTCCAGTACTACAAGAAGAATTTCAAATGTGCTATTCATAACTTTCACTTGAAGGTATAATAGTGCTGTTAGTATGGTTATCTTGAAATGGCTTTTGACTTTCTAGCATTATATTTCTTTTATTGTTGTTAGAAAACAGTAAGAATAAAATTTATATTAGGAAAACAGCTCATTATATATAAATGAGGGCAAAAAGTATTGAACCCCCTCTAATTTTGGATGGTTGCAGTTGACTCTCTTGTCGTTTGAAAATATACAGACACCTCCCTTATGATTTTGGATTGATTTACAATCATCATACTATTAATATTCATGTCAAAAAGATTAATTTATCCTTACACACACTTTTGACTTTCTAGCATTATATTTCTTTTATTGTTGTTAGAAAACAGTAAGAATAAAATTTATATTAGGAAAACAGCTCATTATATATAAATGAGGGCAAAAAGTATTGAACCCCCTCTAATTTTGGATGGTTGCAGTTGACTCTCTTGACGTTTGAAAATATACAGACACCTCCCTTATAATTTTGGATTTATTTGCAATCATCATGCTATTAATATTCATGTCAAAAAGATTAATTTATCCTTACACACACTCACCCCCACACACACTTCACACAGATGCTCTCTCTCTCTCTCTCTCTCTCTCTCTTCAGCATGTATCACATCACATCACTCACCTCACTTTTTTAATTAAAAAACAAAACAAATATTATTCAATTTTATTTTAATAAAATACATATAATTTTTAATATATAAATTTAATTTTTATAAAATTAATGACAGTGTTTAGATTTAGTTTTCTAAATTTAATTTTTTAAAATTTGAGTTTTCTATTTTTCGTATTTTTTTGTTTTTAGTGAATATTTTTAAAATTTTATGCAATTTTTTTTACTTTTTTAAATGTATCTTACTTAGATGTATCTAAATAGTAAAATATTTGTGAAACAATATTTTTTAAAATTAATAGATACACAAAAATACGAAAAATGTACTAAATTTTCATATTTATTTATTTTTGTAGTTTTGCTATTTAGTGAATTTTTTAACGTTTTTTTTCCACAAATATTATACTTTTTAAGTGTATTTATGTTAGATGTGTCTAAAAATTAAAAAAAGTTTCTTAATATATTTAAAAAAATCAGTGAAAACAAAAAAATGCGGAAAACGAAAAAGTAAATTTTTTTGAAAAGTGAATTATAAAAACTGAAACTAAACAGAGTGATATTATTCAAAAAAATATCAACAAAATTTTGAAACAAGACTAATATTTATCATATTTAATAAAAATTTAAATTAATAACTCAACAAATATATAAAAAAAACTTACATAATTAACCAATAAAAATTAAGTTGGGAAGTCACGTTTAGTTATTGAAAAAATAATCCTAAAAAAATTAAGATTTTTTGTGGCACATTGTAAATTGGATTAGCTCGAATTCTCAAAAATTATTGTCAATATTTCAAAATAATTCTAATATCATCACGATATTAATGAAAAGATAGAATGAGCTAGGCAAAGTTGTTGAAAAAGGTAATGCAAACAAAGTCTATTGTACCAAACCAAATTGGCAGCATGGTTACTATGATACATTAAAAATAAAAATATAAAAAAACCTACTAAAGGTAGCTAAGAGTTAACATTTAAGACAATGGTTGAATAAGAGACTGATAAAGGGAAGCAACATAATTAAAAATAATCTTTTAAAAAAATGGCATAAATGGTTACAAAACCAATTTTACAAATTTCTCTCCATCAAACTAAACCAAAATTGGAACAAATCTCTAAATTATTAAATTCAAACTGGAGAATATTGTTTATTTATTTAAAAATAAAAATAATAAGAGAAAGAAAATTAAATTGAGAAATCTTTACCAAGCTTAAGAAATGGACTCATTTAAAATCATTAAATCCTCAAATCTCGAAGAGAGCTTTCGGATTTTGTTGTAATCATAAAAATGAAATTTTAAGGTTTTTTTTTTTTTAATTAAATAAGGAGTTAACTTATGACTTTATTAAAATTGATGTGTCGAGTTTATTAGAAAAAGAATGAGGAAAAAATCATAATAAAACAACCAATTTATTATTTAACAAAATCTCAATAATTTTGACATGTCAAAAGAGTCAACAAGCAACAGGGGTATCCTATTTAATTGAAAAAATAGGACGAAAAAAAAAAATAAAAATAAACAAGTATAAGACAATTTCCAAAATCTTAGGCAAGAGAGAATAAAAAGACATCATTTTTTGCTATAAGAGTGTCTATAGACGAATTAAGTTAACTAGTAAGTAATTT